TATCCAATGAAATAAAGACGATCACATCAAAAAAACTGAAAAATGTTGATTTCCAAAGCAAGAACAAATGTTTTCTTTTGATTCAACACACAGATAATCTGTGGACAACAGAAATCGGAGAATATTTACTGTTGAGAAGTTGAAACGCTGAGGAGCAACAGGTAAATGCTCCTTCTCCCACCTGGTGAAAGAGCATTTAATTGTTCTGCCTGTCACTATACATCGCTGGTTTAGAAAGCTGAACAGCATCATCTTATTTGTCATATGTACATGATTATTTTTTGACCAATTAATTGAAACTAGATCATTTCCCACAGCACACAGAGAACTGATGGCAAAAGAACCACTGGCTCAGAACAATGTATTTGTATTTAACTTTTTAGTACAGTAAATGGCGAAAGGAGACTAAGCCAAAGGTCAAACAATGTGCAAAATACACGTCTCCTTTTTTTTTAGGCCTACAATACCACAATGGCGTGTTGATGTGTCGGTCATGATGGCGGTACTGGAACTCAAAAGTATTTTATTTTATTTTTTGAGGTGAACATTTTTAGAAACACTGATCTCAAGCATTCGTGTTCTGACTGTCAATATATGTCGCTGGCACAGATAAAGACACATAAGCACTGAATTGTGAATCACTGAATTATGCAGCACAATCAGTCACTGCCTCATGATGAGCAGAATTCACGGGATGAATTATTTGACAGCAAGCAGGCTAAAAGTGTACGTTCAGGACAACAAAAGCCGGGGACGGTGTTGCACCACCTTATTCCTCACGTGCAACTACGAGCTGTGCATGAACAAATATTACAAAATGGCTGGCATTAGGACCTTAGGGACAATAAGCTAACCGCCTCGGTGACAGAGGAAGTCGGCGATGTCAAATGCTAATATTTATTTATTTGACCAACACGACCACACGCGGTTTTAAGATTCAGTGGTGAGGAGTGAACGTATTAACCGTGTCAACATTCTTTGCACTACGTGCGCGTCGCGCCCTCGTTAGCTCGCTTGCTATTTTAAATTCAACTCAAAATGGCTGGCTTTAGGACCGCCTGCGCCTATTTTGCTCGACGGCGGCGTCAGCTTCTCTCTGTTTATTTATATTTTTTAAATTGTATTTAACGAACGAGTGACAGCCTCACCTGGAGCAGGGCATTAATAGTGGGTTGATAGTGCTTGGAAGAAAGAAAGAAAAAAACGACTCCCCACACGACTGCATTTGTTGTCGGACTCAGTATTACGTTTTGACTGGCTGACTAGGCGAGTGGGACGGCGCTAGGACCATGCTGACGACATCATACAAGCGTGAAGCAAGTTGTGTTTACAATACGCAGTCTCATCATTTTTGTGCAATTATTTTTAAATATACTGATGTACTACTAAATATACTCTTTGTGGCATTTTAAATGTCTGGAAAATTTGATTTCTGTACACCAGTGCTTCCAGGTCCTAAAAAGTACAACTACTAGCATTGTAACATTCTGCACAGTTTGAACAATAACACTGCACTTTAATGTAGAAAATATTATAATGATTTATTAAAAATGTATTAGTACATAAATGATAGATACACAACAAGGCGTTACTAACAATCATATTAATGATGATTGTGATTATGAAAGTGGTCCATAAAGTGATTTTCCCGTGGGGAAATATTTAGCGGATGCACATTTCCTGTTCCCTAGCAACAAGAGCAGTGTGGAACTGGGGATGGAAGAAGAATGAGACAATTGAAAGAAGAGAGTCCCTGCAGACAGCTCTCCATCGCAAAATAAGATATTTAATTAGCTAATGAGAAGGCGTACGTCCCCTGTAATTTGTGTCGAGTCGACATTGTAGGTATTTGGTTTCCCACACTTGCTGACGTTGCGCTTCCTGCCTCTTTTGCTGCAATGTTTGTTTTGCTAGCTAAGAGACTGCTAGCATGTCGCGCCGCTAACGTTGCGAATAATTCGCGCAACAACTTCTCTTGCGCTTGTTTCCACACCCATCGGCAATTGTACAGTTATTTGGAAACGTTTTCTGCGTTTCTTTAGTGCTGATATTGAAAAAGAGAGGGGAAAAATGCGTTGGTTTCCTGGTTTATTGATACAGCTGATCTAATTAGCCTCCTAGTGTCACTGCATGTATTCCCGTATTCCCTAAAAACCATTTAGTTTTGTTGTTGATGTTTTTAAAATAAATAAACAGTAAACTGTGCAGTTAGCGAAAAAGTCCACCGAAACCCCTTTATATTGATTAGGGAGGTGGGAATGAGTAGATTTGCTATAAAGTTGACGATGTAGTTCTTTAATTAGTCAAATGGAAAAAAGTGTAGGAAATACGGCAACAGCTTTTAAGATAAGTCACTGCTGTGGCATGATGTAAGCGTGCCGCCTCACTGCCACCTGGTATCCAATCGAACAAATAAATACATGACAATAACATGATGTTGTTTCATCCGTGTATTTTACCAAATTAATATATATGACCACATTATTTCTGTCCTGGTACAAGGCATTATGAGGTGCATTGCTTTTCTCATCACCATCACAAGCGACATTGTGAGATACATCGGGCTTACTTTCCGAGAAAGCCTCTTCTCATTCTCGTTTCACCTCGGAATTTCCGTTTGCTCCATGAGCCAGATGACCCTGAAATACTTGGAAGGATAACTTGTTCCAATGCTAAAAATGTTGAGGGGAGAATCCATGATTAGGATTTATTTAGGAGATCGGAATGGAATTCGATAAGATTTCATACCTCAGTTCTTTTGTGTGATATTTTGTTAATTTGGTTTGCAATACACTGTGACTATGTTTTTTGTTTTTGTCATGGCTGGTGAGTCTATCTTGGTGGTGATGTAATGAATTGAAATTTATATAAAAGGTTCATATGTGTTTTGTTTCCTCCCCTCCCCCATAGGCTGGATTCGTCCTCCGCTCTATGGCCTTTTTGGACATGATATTTTGTTAATTTGGTTTGCAATACACTGTGACGATGCTTTTTGTTTTTGTCATGGCTGGTGAGTGAGTCTCTCTTGGTGGTGATGTAATGAATCGAAATTTATATAAAGGGTTCATATGTGTTTTGTTTTCTCCCCTCCCCAATAGGCTGGATTCATCCTCTGCTCTATGGCCTCTTTGGACACCCTTTGGACCTAAACAACCGTTCTCCGTTGTGTATGAGCAAGAAAGGCATCTAATGTATTACCCTCCTGCATACACTTTATATCCGGCGGGTGTATTTCGGTCCTCATCGTCATGGCGACGCATGACTTGGCACGGACCGCAGGTTTCCCGTGCAAACAGTGCGGGCTGATGTGTCCTGACATGGCCGCGCTCGTCGAGCACACGGACGGTCACCTGGCGCAAGAGGAGGAGCGCAAATACAAATGTGACGAATGCGGACGTGGCTACAGGCATGCCGGCAGCCTCGCCAATCACAAAAAGGCTCACGACGTGGGATCGTTTGAGTGCCACGTGTGCGGCAAAGAGAATTCCAACGCTTTGGCTTTGAAAAGTCACATGCGAAGTCACACGGCGCGCAAAAAGTACACGTGTTCGCAATGCGGCAAGGCTTTCCGCCTGGCAACGCAACTTGCGACGCACGAGCGGGTTCACCGTACCCCGCAAGCAAAGAAGCCGGAGGTGGAGTTGGAAGCCCCGCATGAAATCACAGAGAATCATTGGAACAACCAGTCGCCTGTGGGGATTCAAAGTGAAAACCGACCCGCGGACGACAAAATGGAGGGTTATCATCCGGCCTGTGACATGCCAGACGACGGCCGACCGTTCAAATGCGACCTGTGTGACAAGACGTACATTCACCTCCGAAGCTTGAACAACCACAAGAAGACCCATCAGGTGGGAATGTTTGAGTGCACCGTGTGTTTCAAACTCTTCAACAACATGGCGGGGCTCTACAGCCACCAGAGGACCCACAAGGTCAGAAGCGGCGGCGGCGGAGGAGGTAGTAGCTCAGCATTTGGCTTCTACTCCAACTCCACACTGGAGCGGTTTTCCCCTCAGAGCCCAGACGGCCCTGTCAACTTCTGCCATTTGTGTCAGGTTGTGTTCCCAAGTGATGAGGACTTCCAGGAGCACATCCACATGCATAACTCTTCGTCGGCGTCCTTTGGCCTGCAGGACAGCACAGCGGAGAGTCACAGTATGACGTACAACAGCGTTACCTCGCCTAAAAGTGACTTTTATACATCTCACATCGACCCGATTCCTTCTTTGGCGTCGGTCAATCATCGGCAAGGTTTTGATCAGACACAGGGAACCACTAGCGCCAATGGTCACATGTATTCCAACTGCTCGGTGAACCAAACGCCATCTTCAAGCTGCTCTCAGGGACAACCCCCACTCATGGATCCCAGAATTCTCAGTCAGGCTCTGAACCCATCCGAAATGGACGACGCTCCCGTTGCCGATTCCGATGAGCGTCCCTTCAGGTGTCAGATTTGTGGCAAGAGCTACCGCCACTCCGGGAGCCTCATCAACCACAAACGCTCGCATCAGGTGGGGATTTACCAGTGCTCCATCTGCAGGAAGAAGTATCCTCACCTGGCTGCGCTCAAGAGTCACCTCCGCCTACACAAAGGTCACAAGTCCTCGTTCAACCCCGACGAGGATGGGGACTGGCTCACCTCGGAGCAGTTTTGTACAGTCAACCAGCAGGGGTTCTTCTCCTCCCGACAGGATGAGGAGGCGGACGGCGGTGCTCATCTCACGCTCGGCATGGATCAGGAGAACGGCGCCGTCTTCCGCGATCATTCGGACTTCACTCCAGACACAAGCGCGCTGCTACCTCACGCCGAGCACTCGATGCAGAGGCACATGTGCGCCGACTGCGGGGACACTTTTGCGGACATTGCCGGTATCATGGCGCACACGTGCCACCTGCTTGGACAGCAGCACACGGTTGGGGGCCACGACGCCAACGGGAGCTTTGCGGGGACCGTCCCTCAGTTTGATGAACCAGAAGATGTGGATCAGCAGAATTTCTTTGAGCGGAGCTTCCAAGAAGATGTGAGCAGCGAGCAGCTGAACGGCAACGCCGAAGAAGATGACGGCGATCTTTTTCAGTGTTCCGTTTGTGGGAACAGCTACAGCAGCATGCAAGCCCTCAGGAGCCATCTCCGAGGACACGCGCAGTCCCAATGCGCCTCTGCCAGCTCGGGACCCTCGTCCATGTCCTCTCAGGAGGAGGCCGGGGATGACGAGCCGGCTGAAATGATGATCTGCAGTACCTGCGGAGAAAGCTTTGTCAGCAGGCAGGACTTGGTCGCCCATCAGCTCGCGCATGTCAAGCGTCAAGAAGAAGACGGCGTCCGCGACAGCGAGGGACCAGGAGGCGAGCATGAGACGCAAAGTATCATTTGCGGGCGCTGTGGAACCTTCTGCACCGGCTACCATCATCTGGAGAGCCACAGCTGCATCGCAGAGAAGAAAGAAGAAGAAGAAGCAGCAGCAACAGCACACGGCGAGGAAGTGGAAGTCAAAGCAAACGACTTGCAGCACGAAGGCCAGAGTGACGTCAGGGACCACTTGGAGGACCGTCAGCACAGGTGCGACCAGTGCGGCCGCTCGTACAGACACTCCGGTTCCCTCCTCAACCACAAGAAGTCTCACAAAACAGGAGTGTTCAAGTGCGGCGTGTGCCAGAAACGATTTTACAACTTGTTGGCTCTTAAAAACCACCAGAGGTCCCACTTTGACGTGAAAAGGTAACGTACTCTGACACTCCCAAGTGTGTTTGACATTTCGGAGAATGTTGAGCTGATGTCGTATTGTACAGCGCTTTCGCGAGCTATATGATCGTTAAAAGGCATGAGAGTTCATTGAATAAAATGAAGCGGCCGCCGGCAGATTTCCGAGGAGGCTTTTCCATTGTGGGGAGTTCGGGAAGTGGCAGTGAAACGGGCCCGAATTCAAATGTGAGGGTGCAGGGTGAGAGACTGGTTCCACACTGGGTGGGGTAACTCAATGAGTGTACAAATAAGTCTTGAATTGAGATGTATTTTTGCAGAGCGAGTTGCTTGAATTTTTGAAATTCCTGACGACTGCATCCCGAGGAGAGAATGCTCTCGACGAGCCGTTGACCATGTTCCTCTTCTCTCCCTTCCAGGCATTCTTGCCCCGAGTGCGGGAAAGCCTTCAAAATCCAGAAGCAGCTTTTGATCCACCTCAGGAGGCACAAGGAGAACAGAGCCAAGATCCAAGAGCTGAACAACCAGATCCAAGCCCTCATGCAGATGAACAAGACTGAAGCTGACGACGCCCGAGGAGCCACGGTCAAATCAGAGCACGCGGGTGACCGCCGACCCTTTGCCTGCGAGCAGTGCGGGCGTACGTATCGCCACGCCGGCAGTCTGGTGAACCACAAAAAGTCCCACAAAACCGGTCAGTATTACTGTTCCCTTTGCAGCAAAGCTTACGCCAATCAGCTGGCCTTGAAGAATCACCTACGCACGCATTTTGCGAGCCGCAAGTATTCTTGCCAAAAGTGCGGAAAAGGCTTCAGAGGGAAACGCCAGCTGTCGGCTCACGTTTGCGCAGACTCCCGGAAGGGCGGCGGGAGGAGCTTAAGGTCTCGAGCTTCAAAGTGCAAACGGTGTAAACAGACGTTTCCTTCCGGCGAGCAACTGGCGGCCCACGCCTGCGCCGGCTCCCCGGGAAGCGCCGCCGGCACCAAAGAGGAGCGGATGTTCTCGTGCAACATTTGCCAGCGCAGCTACCGGCACGCCGGCAGCCTCCTCAACCACAAGAACACGCACAAGACGGGGCACTTCTCCTGCACCTTCTGCGCCAAGCCCTTCACCAACCCCATGGCGCTGCGCAACCACATGCGCATCCACACGCAGAAGAAGAAATACGTGTGCCTCACGTGCGGGAAGGCCTTCCGCCTCGCCAGCATCCTGCGCAACCATCAGAAGGTCCACAGCCGCGCCGGCGGACACTTCAGCTGTTCGGCGTGCGAGAAGAGCTTCCAAGGGAGGTCCGGACTCAAGAGGCACCGCTGCCGCCGAGGTCGGGGAGAGGACGGGATTCCGCCGGGAGAAAGCCCGGACAAGTGCTTCACGTGAGTTGCTCTGTTTTTGACCGCCAACTCGTCCTGTGTTATTCTGTTTTGTTGACAACATACCCATGAGCAGATGCAAACGCAAAGAGCTGCCGGTTTGATACGCACTGCTGAAAAACAGCTCGTTGCCGTCGATGGCAGTTGAATGACAGTCGTCCGTGTGATGACGGATCAGGTTAATTATTTCTCAAAAACATTGTCAACAATGATTTTTAGAAAGGGTCGGAAAAATCAGCTTGCAACACCGTAGGCTACTTTTGGAGCTACTATAGTGGCAATGCCTCGGTTATGTGTTTGAAAAAAAAAAATTTTCGCTACTCGGTCTTCTTCCAGGTGGCAAAAAATTGTGTGCTGACCAATGACAAAAACTTCTTAACCTTCAGATAACGCCTCCCCGCCCCCCCAGGGTTTGCTCAAGTGTTCACTTTACTTGAAAATCAAACAAACTCCAACCATGACAGTTGTCAAATAGTTGTCCAGAGGAGCCTTTGGAGCTTTTGCCACCTGGAAGTTCGTGCGGCATCGTGATGAAAAGGTCTGTCGAATAAGCCGGCCGCTTGCGGGAAGGAAGGTGGGGGAAGATGTGAGCGTGATACCAACCTGTTGCCGCAGATGCGACCTGTGCGGGCGCTCGTACCGCCACGCCGGCTCCCTCCTCAACCACAAGAAGACTCACTCGGAAAACCTCCACCACTGCGGCCTTTGTCTGCAGACCTTCCCGGACCCCCTGACGCTCCAGATCCACTCCCAGATGAGGCGCCACTGCTGCCCGGAATGCGGCAAGACCTTCTGTCTCATTGCGCACCTGCAGAGCCACATGGAGGTGCACTCCAAGGATCGCTGTCAGGACCCCTACCGAGGCGGCTCGGATGAGCCCGAGGCCAGCGACCCGAGCTGGCCCGAGCCTTTGTCCCAGCGTCCCGAGAGCGCGGGCGAGCGGGCGGAGAAGAGCCACGTGTGCGAGCACTGCGGCCGCACCTACCGCCACGCCGGCTCCCTCCTCAACCACAAGAACAGCCACAAGACGGGCTCCTTCTCCTGCGGCGCCT